CACTCCATAATGGAGGGCGTCCATTCTTTGGTCTTAGATTGGTGTTCCTTGTGTATCGAACAGCCACAGCCGAAATTGAATATATTGAAAGTTGTTTGTCTATGTCTACGTTTACAGCACCAGATTCTTTGGTCGGTTCAACCATACGGCCTTCCGCTCAATGTCGAACTACTACCGGAAAAACTTAGGAAACTGGGTTACAGAACTCATCTGGTAGGAAAGTAAGTTAGATGTTTCTTTGTGCCCTTCATGTATAAAAAACAAATCAAATAATATTCCCATTTAGATTTAATAAAAGATTGTATACTCTGTCTACTGTCAGCGACAAAGCGCTTATGACGTCATGATGACGTAGATGAGTGAAATAATTGTCTTTCACTTAGTAACTATTTGTGGCTGTGCAGTTACAGTTTAATTGTTCGGCAAAATGCTTACGATTATAAGAATAACGAGATAAGTAAATACTTTCTACTTGTAATATGACGTCATTGCTATTCTGCACCCATAGATGGCATCTTGGAATGTGTAAATGGGAGTATACACCAACGTACCGAGGTTTTGATAGTTTCTATGGTTACTATAGCTTGTTACTGACGCATTTCACCAAACAACACACGGCAATCCAAGACCGAAGTACGTATTAAACTTTTTTGTTTTTCAAGATAAGTTTTGTTTTTTGTAATAATAACAATTATTATTATCAACTATGAATTATTATTCAAAGTGACAATAATTTGTAATTGTTCGTTCTGTTGATTCGCGGTGGAAGAAGACATTCTGTTAGTGAACACTTACATAATAAAATATAATATTGGGGTGCTAATAACAAATTTCTATCCATCCCTCTTCAAAAAATGATTCATTTATAATTTAGAAAGACTCACCTTATTATTAAACCAATCATGTCTCCGGCATTAGTTATTTTAAATTAAAATTATTAGGCATTACTGGTTACGATTTTCGCGATAACACTGGTGTGGTACCGAAAACGGACGAGTTCATATCAGTAAGTACATTAATTAATTAATTAACAGCTGTTTTTACATGCCGGTTAGGTATCACTAATTTAATTTGACTACATCAGCTAGCCACACGTGACATACAAAGCTCTGTTTGATAATGGAAGGTACCTTCCATGGTTTGAAGTAGAGTACAGCTTTCAGACTGTGAAAACCTCAATACATCGCTGTGCAGAATTCTCGCACATTGTTCTCATAAATGTAAGCTTTGACACGTGGTAATTTGTGAACGTGACCATGATCACGGCGGGATAATACAAACATGATCTGTTCACACATGATACAGGAAATGTTTTTGAAGAGGGCAGAGAAGTTAATTGACGAACACTATGGAGATCAACCTATGTTCCTGTATTTCTCTTTAGATCTTCCAAAGTGGCCAAGTGAGGTATGTATCTGTTTATCCGGTGTAAACTAGTTCTTGAGATATATAAAGTTTCCCAAAAACATTCAAACTGTTTATCAAAATCTGCTACCAATTATCAATTTGAAGGAAGATTATCATTGTGATTGAAATAATTTGATGCAAATTTACATAACA